GTAATACCAGACATCTGAACGATCTTAACACCAGCGGTCACTGGTAGTAGTAGGCCGGTCACAGAGCGCACAGAACCCGAGTCAGCGTTTTCAGACCGCCATCTGGGTTGATGTGCGGTATCCTTGACCACTAACCGCAGGTCATCTGTTGCAGACTTTGAGGCTTGACGCAGCAGGATTTGTCCCTGAACAATCAACAGCTTAAATATGGCGGTGGCCATCCTGGGTTACAGCCTCTGAAGCTTATCCATCCCCCGATTCAGTTGTGTACGAAGACCGTCGAAGGCTGTCGGCGGTGGTTTGGGAACAAGTGTAAGGGGTACACCTTTTTCCGGTAGGTTGTAATCGGACAGCCATCGTTGGTGGATTGGAATGCAAACCAAGAAAAAGTGAATGATGAATAGTTCTTACTACTCGGAACGGACTGATTTTGAAATGCAGAGAACAGGTGTACGCAGGGGAGCCACGTCGCCTGATAGAAAGGGCATGTGCATTCTCCAGCACAGGTGTCGGAAGTCTGGGAGCATCCGGGTGTTTACACCACAAACTATAAGTTAGTTTACGTAGCTCGACCTCACCTGTCGCAGTGGTACGACGTATGCATCTCAAACTCCCGCATGAGCCACCCGGCGTGCCGGGACACCTTTTGAATGGCATGCTCCAACGTGTCGTAGTGGTGTACCCGATCTTTAAGGCGCCCGTTTGCATTCTCCAGTCGGTTGTTGGTCACATTACCGAAATGAACCATCTGTAGTACACGCACAAATATCACAAAGTTACCCTTCATGTATTCATTTAAGGTCTTCTCAAATGCCGTGAAGGATGAAGACGATGCACTCATACATTTCTCAACGAAAGCCACTTCCGAAGCCATAGCAGACGAATTTTAAAGCCGAATGTGCGCCAAAAATTTTCAAATGAGATCGATTGAAACAAATCGCAAAAATGACGGCAGATGAGGGTGGTTTTGAGTCCACACATATATGCAAAGAAGTGCAACATTTTGGCGTTAAAGTTTTTATTTCGCCCGCAGGGGTTTTACAGAAAAATGCATTGTGCGTCTAGCCGCTGGATGTATCTATCCGTGGATCCGTGAAATAGGAACCCAAATTTCCTGGCCCGCCGGTATCCTTCGAATTCACTGCAAACGTGTTGGATGGTTTGGGGAATTGTCTTCTTTCGTTCACATTTTTTATCTGTCGATGAAAGCATGGCCTTCAATCCAGGTAGAGGTGCGTATTTTAATGTATAAACGATCGGAGAAAAGATAAAATTCACATGCACTATCAACCTATTGGTTGGTACCCTTTGCAGGCCGTCGGATCAAAATAACCAATCACAGGGGGTGAATTCGCACTATCGCTAGGCTTCCTTCCGGGCATAAAATGTGGACCATTCCTCCTGATAGAATTGCTAAATACGAGGGGCTATTTGACCAGTTAAATCCAGTGGATGGAAGGCTAGATGGTGCCAAATGCAAGGCAGTAAGTTGTTATGGTTTGGATACCCGGGTTGTTAATCTCATACACTTGAAACCTTGGGGCGGGTTATATCCGTGCAATAAATTTACGCTATTCTCAGATGGCCTGACCTATTTCATGCCTCTCCATATTATCCGTCTACTCAATTTCCCGTGCCTATACAGTTACGCCGATGCCTCTGTGTAAACGAACCATCGGCTACCGTGAAAATCTGCGAGTCATCGTCCGTGCTGTCTCGCAGTATTCTCTACGTCTATGTAATGTCAAATCTGTGCCTGCTGTAGATGATGAAGAACGGAATTTGCGTAGCTTTCAAGATACGTAACACCTCCCAACCATATCCCATGCACTATCACGGCGCTTGACTTGCTCCAGGTGGAAATGTACTCTGTTCTAGCGTGCTCCACCAAGAAGTGTGCACTATCTGGTTGATAGAGCGATGAATGGCCCGCATCATCCCTTGACTTCGAAACCTTATTCTTCGAATCTTACTTCGTTTAGAGGATAAAATAACCAGTTTTCCAGGTCATGCCTCTGTAAGAAATATGTCCTCAATTGATGGTAGTCCCCCGGAGTGGTCGGCAAACTGAACATCCAGGCGGTTGTGAGGCGTCACGTGTGGCCAAAAATATATATCACAGGGTTCCAAGAACATCGTGTACAAGGTAACAGTAAGGACCGTATTGTTGTGTGATCGTGAAACGGCTTGTGGGGGGTTTTGATCACCACTATCTCAGAAGTGTTGCTGATGTCAGGTGACTTCAGTGAATTCGTGACAAGGTTACTAGGAAACGGGCACTTGCTTGCTCAGGAGTCTATTCAGTCGCGGAAAACATCCAGTACCCTCAGCTGCTGTGGTTCTTTCATGGTGTGCACAGGCCAAAACATCGTCTATCGAAATGGGTGTTGTCCCCCGAATGGTGCGAACTGTAAGGTGGGTAACGCGTGGTTTGGTAAAAGGTCGTAAACTAGATTACGGTGTGTTTAGGTGTTGCTAGAGTGCTCCGCCTTCTGTGACGCCCGCTGCATTTGGCCGGAAGTATTGCAAGAAATGGTGGCGTATCAATGTCAGTAACATTGACGTTGTCACTTTCTCTCCAGATTGATTGGGCGTTTGGAAATGTGTTCAATTCGGTGCTTGTAGTAGGATAGCACCAGATCCCTCATCCATCCGCCTCGAGGCTTTAGACATGGTTGTGCGGCAGTGAAGTATCAGTGTCAACACTGGTATCACTGTCTAATGATAATACCGGATCATGGATGTTCTCGGCAGGAGACAAAGCAATGTCTACTGGCACTGACAGCTCTGGTTACGTCACACAGCCAATGACGACCCTACACCACAGCTATTGCTTTCATTGAGTGGATCCATTACTCTGTACCAAAGAAATTGTTCAGCTTTTATGAACGGATTGGGCAACTGTTCCCAGCACGCGGTATTCATACCCTTTCTCTGTATTTAATGAATGGGCGTGTGGCAGCTGGAGCTGGCTGTTTATAGCTGAAAAAACGGGTGCATGTCAACCCACCAGGTGCTATCTGACGTGCAGGCAATAAGAAGTAGCTAGAAGCAATCCGAATGCACTGGTATTTTTGAGCGCCGTCCAAACTTAGTCTTAGTTTAAGTCTTCGACTTTTATGACAGAGCTATGCTCAAGGTCCATTTGATGCTTGGGATCTGCAACTGGTTGGTTCATAGACACAACTGATGAACAGGCTGCTTTTGACATTTCTTTATCCGTTCGCTTCGTATGATTATGCCGGTGCACAAATTCGGCTGTTAGCTGGCATCCAGCTCGGTGCGGTGGCTTACAGCTATTCCGATACCAGGCAAATTTCGAAGCTGAAGCTGCTTGGAAACGCCCCACCGGACGGACCTGGTGCTAATCCGTTATACTCTAGTTCAGTAACATTACTTCAGTGGAACGCATATCGTCCTATCGCAGTGCTACCTACTTTCTGAAAACGCGACGCGACATCTTTCTTAGGGAACGATAGTCCTACTTTTAGTCGCCAAATATCCTACAATTATGGAGGATGTATTGAGCAAACTAGTGCAGTATAAACTCTGTCTTTCGATGAAAAGCCGGTATCCGGCCATCGCCACAGGCTTCTAAAGGAGAATCACGCTGCATTTCTCCTTGTTCGAGGAATCATGGACCGAATCTTGACACAGGAACGGGTTCCCGAACATAGCTACCCTTTCAAACGTCCCACATTTGTCTTTTTAATACGAAAGCCACTTTTGACTCAGTAGGTCGTAAAAACGTTTGGCGGTCTCTCTGTTTCAGATCTTTCCTAGATGAATATCACTCTAAATTACTTAACTAATACTGCCGCCACACATGCCAAGTGTAAAGTCATGCCACAGGACTGGGTGGAATCAAAACCAAACCTCATTTTTACAGACCAGCCAATGCACTTGATGGACGTTCAGCTGTAGCACCCTTTCGGTGCCTACCTGCCATGCCACCCGAAGGAAGCACGAGGGCTGGGATACTGCCAGGTTGCCCAAGCCTAGACAGGGGATGCGGAGAGGCGGAGGTTGGGTTCGAACCACGGACGTTCCGATCAGTAAATTCGCGTTCTAACCACTTGGGCCATCTCGCACTTGATAGGTAAACTCGTTTACCCGAGCAGTTGTGGGTCAGCTTGAGACGAGATTACTTCTATAGTCGTGATGGTCGGAGCAGAGTTCGTCAACCTATGGCACTAATTGCGCTGGCTCAATCTAGGACTGCTTGCTTAGTCGGGCTTGAGTGCCGCTATGATATAGCATGCTACATTGGCTGGAACTCTTTCACTGTGCAACCATAGCAGGAAGGACAATGGAGATCAATCAGCGAGACCCCGTACCACACGAGTAATTGTATCGTGAAGTGGTCTTAGGAGTACTGTGGGAGTGTGAAGGCAGTAAGGTGTTTCCTCCAGGCGACGAGCATGCCCATAGTCGTAGAAATCTGGATGCTTAGTTCCTCTGAGGAAGGACGAAGTAGGAAATTTTGGCCATAGAAACCGCATACTCCTACCACCCAGCGGCTGACCGTGACTGCCGGCGCATTGTTCGGTTGAGATTCTTTTAAAACCAGAGATTCTAATGCGCAGCCCTGTTAGGAGTGAGACGGTAATGCCTTACTCCCTTCAGTGTCAGGTTAAGCCAGACGACGGGGTTTTGGGCTACGGACAGAGTTGCTGCCTCGCGGGTCAGACTTTTGAATCAGAGGCTGGGGACAGGGTCCCCGAAATAAAGTATACCTTCTACTTGTGAGTCAAACTTTTGAGTCAAAGGCTCAAGGTGGGGTACTGTAGCTAAGCTCTCCTCTTTGGTCTGGGAAGCCGGCAAGTATCACTTGCCCGCACAGTTCTTTATCCAATAATGTCCCTCTCCAATCCCTTCCCACCATAGAATACAACGTTGCTGGCTTACTCGGTCACGAAAAGACGGGACCTCACCGTGGTGTGATGGTTTGTACGCCTCCGTGACTCAGCCATGTTGGGTAGTGTCCGCGCGACGCAGACCCTCTCATGCCAAGTTGGTCAATGATTAGGGGACTGACCGGCCATCGCCACAGGCTTCTAAAGGAGAATCACGCTGCATTTCTCCTTGTTCGAGGAATCATGGACCGAATCTTGACACAGGAACGGGTTCCCGAACATAGCTACCCTTTCAAACGTCCCACATTTGTCTTTTTAATACGAAAGCCACTTTTGACTCAGTAGGTCGTAAAAACGTTTGGCGGTCTCTCTGTTTCAGATCTTTCCTAGATGAATATCACTCTAAATTACTTAACTAATACTGCCGCCACACATGCCAAGTGTAAAGTCATGCCACAGGACTGGGTGGAATCAAAACCAAACCTCATTTTTACAGACCAGCCAATGCACTTGATGGACGTTCAGCTGTAGCACCCTTTCGGTGCCTACCTGCCATGCCACCCGAAGGAAGCACGAGGGCTGGGATACTGCCAGGTTGCCCAAGCCTAGACAGGGGATGCGGAGAGGCGGAGGTTGGGTTCGAACCACGGACGTTCCGATCAGTAAATTCGCGTTCTAACCACTTGGGCCATCTCGCACTTGATAGGTAAACTCGTTTACCCGAGCAGTTGTGGGTCAGCTTGAGACGAGATTACTTCTATAGTCGTGATGGTCGGAGCAGAGTTCGTCAACCTATGGCACTAATTGCGCTGGCTCAATCTAGGACTGCTTGCTTAGTCGGGCTTGAGTGCCGCTATGATATAGCATGCTACATTGGCTGGAACTCTTTCACTGTGCAACCATAGCAGGAAGGACAATGGAGATCAATCAGCGAGACCCCGTACCACACGAGTAATTGTATCGTGAAGTGGTCTTAGGAGTACTGTGGGAGTGTGAAGGCAGTAAGGTGTTTCCTCCAGGCGACGAGCATGCCCATAGTCGTAGAAATCTGGATGCTTAGTTCCTCTGAGGAAGGACGAAGTAGGAAATTTTGGCCATAGAAACCGCATACTCCTACCACCCAGCGGCTGACCGTGACTGCCGGCGCATTGTTCGGTTGAGATTCTTTTAAAACCAGAGATTCTAATGCGCAGCCCTGTTAGGAGTGAGACGGTAATGCCTTACTCCCTTCAGTGTCAGGTTAAGCCAGACGACGGGGTTTTGGGCTACGGACAGAGTTGCTGCCTCGCGGGTCAGACTTTTGAATCAGAGGCTGGGGACAGGGTCCCCGAAATAAAGTATACCTTCTACTTGTGAGTCAAACTTTTGAGTCAAAGGCTCAAGGTGGGGTACTGTAGCTAAGCTCTCCTCTTTGGTCTGGGAAGCCGGCAAGTATCACTTGCCCGCACAGTTCTTTATCCAATAATGTCCCTCTCCAATCCCTTCCCACCATAGAATACAACGTTGCTGGCTTACTCGGTCACGAAAAGACGGGACCTCACCGTGGTGTGATGGTTTGTACGCCTCCGTGACTCAGCCATGTTGGGTAGTGTCCGCGCGACGCAGACCCTCTCATGCCAAGTTGGTCAATGATTAGGGGACTGACCAACACAGTCACCTGGCCCTCCGGGTTGGGGGTTGAAATATGTGGCGGCTTTTTCTATAGAAATATTCGTGCATTTGCATTTCCCGCTTAACGCTGTCGAGGTCAGGCTTTTGAGTCAAAGGCGTCGATCGAAGACCCAAATGGTTCTCCTCTCTAGGTGTGCGTGCGCTGCTAATGTCTCAGCCCGCATACAAACACGACACTCACAACTAACAATACTCATGCCACATCGGCCGTCGCGTGGTGTCACCAGCTGGGTCGCCTTACGTGCTCCATACAGAAGGGTGAGTAAGCGAAACCATGCTACTACTGACTCCTCCCTTGGAATTTTACGTTTTCTATCTTCCACCATACCTCACCCAAATTTCGATACGTTTCCCACAGATCTCAGCGCCAGAAATAACGGTATTGCTTGTCGTGCATTCCACTTAATTACATTTTCTGTACGTCCGACACTTCGAGGTTTGTTTTCAAACGCCAAAAGCCTATCCAGTAGTTAAAAACCGGATTAACTGACCGGGAGGTTCGTGGGTACTGAACACGTAAGAGTTGCTTCGTTCCGTTTGTCGTGATGGTTCGCCGATAGCCAATGCATGAAGCTAAATCCCGATTATTATTGTTATTATTATTATTATTATTATTATTATTATTAACTTAACCACCCTAAATGTTGGCACACTGAAGCAACCGGAACAACAGGTGGCTCTCGCTTCTACGCTGGATTACCTCTATATTGGTGTGTGCTCTGTCAGAAACAAGGATACAGAACGCAAGTACCTAACTGTCCCCTCCCTCTCTTCCAGCTTCTGGTTGCACACCTCTGGTGGTAAAGAAGCAGCTGTAACTGGAAATGCTGGGGTGGGTATTTTATTGAGCGACAGAGCGGAAGCGTCCCTACTTGATTGGATACCCGTCGGTAGTGGCCTCTGCGCAATTCGTTTGGCAACGTCTGTTAGAGAAGTGAGGAAGTTAGGAAGTGAGGTCCATCCTTCAGCTGTAACACCCTTTCGATGCATTGATGTCATGCTACTCCGAAGGAAGCACGAGGGCTGGGATACTGCCAAGTTGCCCAAGCATAGACAGGAGAAGTCGAGGTGCAGAGGATGGAAGGTACGGACCTTCCGGCCAGTAAATTCGCACTCCAACCATTGAGCCATCGCATCCTGTTTATTTTATCTGCAGGTGGAACCAATTTGCCTATAGTGCATGGTCTATAGCTGATAAATTGATTTTGATTGTGGTGGCGTGAACGCCCAGATAGGTAGACTAAGCCCAACTGGGCCACTAAGAAGTTAGTGGACCCAGAAATCGAACAAAACTATCATGTTCGATTCACCGTCGTTTTACGGTGGCACGCTAAACCTTGACTTGTGAGAATCCAGCGGCATTTCATCTGGGTAAGGGCTTCGTTTACTACATCTTCACACGTCGTCAGATTTTAGAGCAACTCCACCTGCAAACACGATCAACAATCTTGGTATTCATCGACTTCAGGAATGGATTCCACTCTGTCGATCGGTCAGAGTATGACCCAGAAGTTTGTGAACATAATCCGATCCCTATATTCACATACTTCTGGGAGTTTGAGAGTATCAGGTGAGCCCTCGAAAAGCTTTCCTGCAAAAAGTTATGTTCGACGAGGATGTGCACTCGCTCCGTCGCTATCCAACCCCATCGTTGACTAAATAGTGAAGCGAGCGCTTGGGGTTCTTCAAAACCCGGCGTCCAAATTGTTGCTGGTGAGAGCCTTGTCCATCTGGAGTACGCAGATCAAGACGAAGCACAAACAGACTGATCGCTGTCATACCATAGTTCAGCATGTATCTACCACCTTGAAAATGTAGTCATGTTCCAGAGCGTACAGCCTTTTACGATTCATGGATAACCACGGGAGGTTGTTGGAAATTTTACATTCCTCGGTAGTTATCTTAGCTCTGACGGAAATGTGCCTGTGGTCAGTGCAAGAATCTCAAAGGCTCAAATCACTTTTGCTAATTTGCGTCACATGTGGCGTCACTGGGTCTTAAGAGTCGCGTGTACCAAGCTACAGTAAGGGCTGTGTTGTATAACTGTGAGACGTTGGCATCTGTGGAAAAATGGTGTGATGATTCCTCAGAAGCGTTTTTTAATGGTGTCAACGGCTTAGTAACGCGCTGATCACAAAATTGGTATTTCGTTGTGCAGCTGGTAATTCATTTGTGGCCAGGTGGCCCAAGTGGTTAGAACGCGAATTTACTGACCGGAAGGTCCGTGGTTCGAATCCGACCTCCGCCACTCGACTTCCCCTTTCTAGGCTTGGGCAACCTGGCAGTATCCCAGCCCTACTTCATTTGTGGAAAACATCCAGCACCATCAACTGTGATGGCTCAGTCATGTGCTACACATACCAAAACAAGGTCTACCGAGACGAACGTTGTTTTCCGCGCCCCATTCAGAATGGTGCGACCTGTGAGACGGATGGCGTATGATTTGGCAGAAGGGCATGAAAGAGGAGTCCGACTGTTGTTGGTGTTGTACGCCTTCCAGGATGGGGTCTCTGTGACTCTACCTGTGCTTGGCTGTAGCCATTGCAAGGAATGGCGGTTGATCAATGTTAGTGGCGTTCCCGTTCAATTTCTTTCCAGATTGTCTGATTGAGCGCTTGGAGGTTTAGGCACCTCAGAATGCTTGACATAGGCCAGCACTGGTCCCCTCCTGTACCCACTCTTTTTTCTCTTCTTTTTTCTCTAACGCTTTAAATATAATTTGACGAACCTTATGGTTGTACGGTGGTGAAGCATCAGTGTCAGCACTGATGTTGCTGTCTCTACTAATGATCGTGATACTGGGTCACTAGATTGTCAGTTATCTGACCAGTGTCAGATAACTGATAACTATTAGCAATAAAGAAAGTAACAACTTGCTAAATCCACGGGATCATTTATACTGGGAGCTTTTAACGTTCGTACTTTGCGTCAAATTGGCGAATAGGCAGTGCTCGCTGAAGCCTTACACTCATCTAAAACTGATGTGTGCTGTGTCTCCAAAACACGCTTCCATCTGAATCTCAAAACGCCAAGGGCAAACTCAGCCCTTTGACATTTCTCTCTCCGTATATCCGGTGGTCCAAAAGCGATAACTTGTAGAGCCTATGGCGTGGGAGTTGCACCCAGCCCCAAAGCTGAACGCACTTTGCTGGATTGGATCTCAGTGAATGGTTGTCTTCGTGCCGTCGGGTTATCGAGCTGAATCAAGCTCAATGCCTCTCGAGGTTATAAGTGGCGTCTGTTCATGATGCCGGCGTGTGGCCCAGCAGATTGTGGTTCTGATGCTGAGAAGGATGCTTTGTACCGGAAGCTATCCGGGTTCACTCATCGAGCAAGAGGCACTGGTTTTGTGATCCTTGCGGATGATATGAATACCCTAGTCGGTAGTCTGGGCTTCTTGGAATCAAATTTAGGCTATCGATTCGGGGTCGATGCTCGTCGCACATACAACTGAGAGCGACTACAGTTGTGTACTGATCTTGAACTGTTTATGGCCAGTACGAACTTTTAGCACAAACGTTCGCGTTGCGTAACCTAGTGGCCATCAACTGCAAATGAACCGTGAACCCAGTCGGATTACGTGGCCATCAACCACTGACAGGTAGCCACAATTAAAGACCGCTGTTCCTTCTAGGGCGCACAATATGATTCCGATCACACCATTGTGCGTGCACACCCGACGGTTCGATCT